CGCTGAGTTCGAAGTTATTGAAGGAGCTCTCGGGGTCTGGGTGCTAAACCCCAAACGCTAGTCTTCGTTTGGGAAAGGAAAGAGGAGGTTTTTCCTTATTCTTTTTTTTTTTATTTTGAGAAGAGAAAATTCAGAAACTTGAAGGCAATCGTTAGGATCGAGGCCAAAGTGGCTAGTGACGGTGGGGCGTCCTCCAAAACCAAGGAAAAAGGGTTGTCCGGGTAAGTCCCGCGGAGCGGTGGAGACACGGCACCGCCCCGGCCCTGGCACTGGCTCCTTTGACATGTTGCTTAGGGACGAGCTCTGCGTTCGCATCCCCGTCGCGCCTGCCGCCTCCCGGCTCTGCTTCCCGAGCCTGGTGACTCCCGCGGCCCTGCGCTTTACCCGCGGGGAAGAACTTGGTGTCCGCCGGTCGCTCGGCGCTCCGCCAGCTCCGCCAGCTCCGCCAAGGCCTCTAAGTTCTGAATGTCCTGCCCCCGGGCACATGAGGGGCACACTCCCACGCCTGTCCCAGGCCCTCCGGAAGAGCCTTCCCTGTCCTTGATCTCAGTAGGGATACTTGGGTGTTCCTCTTTTCTGATGTTCACGTGATGTTTAAAAACACTTCCATTACAGCAATTACCCCTTAAGGCATTATGGTTGTTTATTTACAATCATTCCTTCTCCCACGCGAGCCTGTCTTTTAAACCCTCTCAAGGATCGGAACTAGTGAAGTTTAAGTTCCTTGACAGCTTTCACAGCTCTCACTCCGACGTTAAGCTACCGCTTCTGTCTGCACATCTCCTCACGTTGACTGCTGATCTAACCAAGTAATCAATCTACTTTCATCCTTTCTACATGGGAAAAAGCAGCCTTTTCCGCTACCCCAGTCTACCCCCAAATAAATTGATGTCAAATGTCTGGTCTTCACTAATGAAATTCCTTCCATCAAAGTCACCCTTTTATTTCTAAAGATAATCAAATATAATATTCCTTTTGTGGCCTTTTGACATGTTAAGTATGATGATTAAAATACCCTAAAACACTACAACATCTGGTCTAAGTGGTCCTTGGTAAACAAGGGGAAATGTTGGGAGGTGTCTGCTTAGCGGTCAATTCCTTTAAGAAGCCTTCCTTGATACATTAGAGTAGGTAAGGTACCTCTTTTTCTGTAAACCATAGTTCACCCTCTTTACCTGTGTGCCTGTTCTTGTAATTTGCCACATGGTTATAATTTTCTTTTTATCTCTAGCCTCACCGTATTGAGGCTTGAGCTTGATCTTTCATTATTGTATTTCCAGCACATAGAATTTCTGGTAAATAATAGACATTTAATAAATATTTATTGATAACAAAGTTAAACCTGGGTTATATTATGCTTCAAAGTTTAAGTTATATTCACATGAAAATAAAACTGATGAAATAATTAAAAAAACAGCATTAATTTGTGTAATTATGTGGTAAATCCCATCCAGTACAATTCTGTACTGAAGTATACTATACCGTTTGCCAATCTTTATATGAAAAGATTGTCTTCTAGATGGGAATAAGGTAATTTAAAGTATTTCTCGCTTCATTGTTAAATTTTCTTTCTAATGCTTTTGCTTAAAAATGAAATAAAATTGGAAACTTATTGCTTTAGTAAATGTGTCTTTTTGCATAAATTAAATCACTGACCTCTCTTTATGTTCTTTAAATTTGATTCATTAGTGGAATTAGCAAGGTTTTGGGCTTTTCTCACCTCATTCAGTTTTATAATTTACCAATAAAAGCTTATTAGCTTTTAAGGAAGTTTAGGAATATAAATTGATTTATGGACACCATATGGTTACATCAAAGGATTCTTTTTGTTGTTGTTTTAACCTGAAGTGGATTTTTAAGCCCTTTCTTTAAACTAGAAATTCATGTTCTTTCTACCAAGCAATAAATCTAAAATAGAATGATGGGGTTTTTATTTTTTTAGTACCAAGCTACCAAAGTAGGTCATAAGATTCAAAAGATATCAGAATCTCATGTTCATCTGGTTTAATACCTCTCATTTTGGAGATCTGTTAAATGTCTTCCATCGTTATACAGCTAGTCAGTGGTATATCCCATCCCAAGTCTAGTGTTCTTTCACTAAACTAAATAAGTTTAAGCCACTAGTCAGTTATTAAAGTTATTCGTTATTGGTTATTCTGACTTTGTTGAGTCACGTAAGCTTATGTCACACTAATTCTTAAGAACTGTGAATATTTTAGAAGACTTTGTAATACACATTGACTACACGATCAGATTGATGTCAATAAAATTATTACATTATAAAAGATGAGTAGAGACCAAATTTCACAATACAAAAATTTCACCCTATTAAATAATAAAAAACAAGACAAAATATACATAAATTGTATTTAATGCTGAGCTACTTTCAAATAATCTCATCTTGCATGACCTCATGCAAGAACCATTTGTTCTGTCTTTGAGTGTAGTTGTACTTGAATATCTTAAAAGCTATTGCATTCTGTTCCTTTTTGGAACTTTACATGCTTTGATAGTCTTATCATTTTTACTTAATGTCACTTCAGAAGAAGGGATGATGCAAAGAAAGTAACAAATGAAAAACAATAGATCGTGGGAATAAGGTATTTTGTATTAACTGTATTCTTAAAATGAGGTATTTTCATAAGTATACATTTCATATAATTTTATCCTTTCAGAACTATTGAGGTATTCTTTTAAAATTATCCTTTTATGAGTGATTTTCATAAGGAACATGAGTGGTTTTCAAAAGGAAATTTAAACAATTTATGTTGTAGATCTACTGAAGATAGTCCTAAAATTGTATTTTAAAAGGATGTATTACATTTAGAACACTTATGTAATTTTACTTTTTTTTTTTTGCATTTTTCAACTGTTTTAAGACATCACCATATATGAAGAAGTAAATTATGATAAACAAGTTATGTCACCTTTAAGGAAATTCACTATCCATTACTAGAGGGATGATGATTTTAATGTTTTCGGTTTTTAAACAAGATCGCTCTGGCTTCTATTGGGGGAATGATTGTATGGTGTGGAGAGCAGCAAAAAGTAGAAGCAGGGGACCAGTTGGGAGATATTAACAGGTATATACAGGCAGCATTAGGGGAATATCATTAGAAATGGGGATTTAGTATAGATTTTGAAGATAGAGGACTTGCTTATCAGGTTGCTATTGGAGAGCAAAGTAAAGAGAAGAATCAAAAATGCTTAAGTTTTTTGGCCTAAGCACATGGATATTTGGGAAAGACCAAGGGTAAGACAGTTTTGAGAGGTGTTGGAATCAAGAATTAGATGCATATTACACATCAATGTGAAAATAAAGTAGGGATTAGTTGTTCTAGTCAAGAATTTAGAGGAGTTATCAGAAGTGGGCTAAATAATATTAGGGAGAATGAAGAACACTGCCTTTACTGTAGGCTTCAAAGGAGACTCAGCAGTAATGTCCTTTCCAGTGTAGTCTGCCTCTAACTGACTCTAAAAATATTCTTCCTGTAAGTCTTTCTGCTCACTTTCCAGTTCCCGTGCCCTACCCCTGATCTGTTAAATATTGTTGCTTGGCATAGTCCTGAGCCATTATTTTTTTAGTTAAAGGAAGTGAAGGATATAAAAAGTTTTCCATTGATTCAAGAAGGTCTAATAGAAATTCATTAATGGTTAAGTAACCAAGAGAAAAATTTATTGGGGCACGTGGTAGAGGATAGCTCCTATAAAAATGTCCCCTTGATTCCCATCATTCAGAGAAAAAAGTGGAAAAAGACATTTCACAGTAGCAGTTCTTTTGTGCTTGTGAAAAAACAGCATTACTACTTTATAGAAATGTGCTTGAGCACAAAAGAAACTAAACTTTTTCAAATCCGTTTCAATAGATATTTGGGAACTAGGTTCAGATGCCACAGTGATTTAAAAGGCTTTGAGATAAACTTAAAAATATAGTGACCAGAAGGATTGGCAATTGAAAGAGACATTTTTTCTAAAAATGTTACATACTAAGGAAAAGTGGAGCAAAGAACACTAGCTCAGAGATAATAACTCAAATTTTACTTCTCTGGAAATGGACAGATAATTCTGTTACACTTTTATTTTTGCCTGTTCATTATTCATAGCAGTTGTGTTTAGCCATTGTTACAGCTTTGTCGTCTTTTGCTCATATTATAATAAAAGAATAACCAAACAAATGTCCTTGGTGGGCACTGCCCATGTCGGGTCCACTGCCAGTGCTAGTTCTGTAGCATAACCACAGATTCCTATTATTTAAACCACGATTATTTCTGAGAAAAGAAACAAATAATATGAGGAATTAAGTTTTAAGTTTAATGGTCTTGTTATATTAAAGGTATCGTTTAGGGGCCTAGTTTAAAAAAAACCCTCTTTATCTTGCTTAAGGGCTCCAATCCTTGGGATTTTTAATACATTAAGAAAATCAATTCTGGGCTTTTTTTTTTTCTCCCCCTAGGCGTGGCTGCTCTCGTAAATAATATATTACATTAAAGTCTTTACAAAATGATCCTAATGTGTTTGAAATACAGAGAGAACTACAGTTTATAAAATTAAGAGTCTCCTTCATCAGTGTTTCTCTAATTTGTTTTTCCCACAGTTCTCAGAAGGAATACAGTCTATGTCACAGCCCTACACATAAATGTGTATTTCTGTGTGACATAATAAAAAATGCTGTACTACCTTACAATCTTCATTCATTTCTATTCATTTACATATGTGTAGTCAACTTATGTAATCAAGCTCTAGAGACATGATAGGAAGGATTGAATTTTAGAGCTCAAAGGGCCAGAGAAAAGACCATGTGATGAATTCCTAGGCATTCTGAAGGAAACCTGGAAATGTGAATCTCATTCCTTAAAAAGCCACACTGAAGTCATATTTGATATTAAGGTACTCATAAATTTGCAGAACATTGGTTTTTAATTTGACCCATAAACTATATCCATATTCGGTCGCTTAACATTTAGGCTAGAAGTAAACCACCTAAAGATTTCAAGTTTATTTTCTCAACCCTTTACAGATAGGACCACATTTTTAATTAGAAGAATAACGTATATATAGTTATTTAAAACAATATACGACACAAAGGAATATACTTTGAAGAGTCATTTTTCTTATCTTTAGTCATCCTTAACAGGTAACCTATTTTGTACCTGTTTTCACTTCTAAAACTTAGAGACATTTTTATTAGTACATATAGATCTATGCCATTTTTATTGGCTGCATCATCTATTCCATTGTTTGAACATACCATAATATACTTGAAGATATGCCCTTTACTAATGGACATTTGGTTCTTCCCATTGTCTTAGTATTATCAACAGTGCACAATGAATATCCTGGTGTATAAATCTTCACACAACTAAGAACATATCTTAAATTCCAAGGAGAGCTATTGCTAAATTAGGGGATACTGGCATTTAAAATTTTGACTGCTAGAGTCAGGGTCACATTTAAATGAAATAAGATCAGTTATGATAATGTCTTTCCAGAGAGAGGAATTGCACAATTTACTTAAATAACAATCCATTCCAGTATCCAGCTAGAGTCACAAAGCAGACCAAAACTATTAACAAGAAATTCCCCCTCAAACTTTCTCTTTTTTTGTTTTATGTGTTCTGATGGTTTAAAATCTTTCTCTTCACAATAATAATGCCTTAGAAAACATATGTGTCCTCACTTTTTTCCCAGAATAACTACTTTTTATATTAACAAAGATATAAAACCTTAACTCTGAATCTATGCTCCAATTCCCAATCAGTGGGCTTTCTTCATGTGAAATAAATACTATTTGGTTTAAATCTGTATATTTTCATTTGTAAAGTGACATAGCATATATTTGTGCAGTTCTTCATAAAAATGAGTGCACAAAATAATTCTTAGGTGTCACTGGTCACATTATAAAATTAAGATTCAGAAAAGTTCAGAAAAAATTGACAGCAGCACTGCCAGCATTTATTTTCTTTGCAGCCACGTACAATTTGAGAAAATCTGTTTTTCGTATGAATTCTGTTAAAGGAACAGACAATACAGTGCTTTTTATTTAGAATGATTTCGCATTATGGTCTTTGCATATAGCTTTTAGACTATACTTGTGTTTTTGTATAATACCTTGTGTTTTTGGAATGAATTAAGGTCATTATTCAGAGGATGATAATCTGGATTATATTTGTATAGTCAGACCGAATCTTCATAGCAAATGCATAATATTTTTTTTAAATAATAACAAACGATGTAGATGTTTGTTAACCAGCCTATAGAAAATACCAGAGAGGTTACAATAGCAGAGTTTAAGCCAATTTTGTTTTTAAAATGTCATGTACATAGGAAAGAGTTTAACATTAGTTTTCTTTGGATAGTGGGACTATAGGTTAAAAAAATTTTTTTTCTTTAAAATGAACATGTGTGACCTTGCAATTAAAAAGCCAGTCAATGCTCTTTAAAAAGATAATTCCATATTCCTTCAACTCCACATTTTCTATCTCCATCAAAGTTTTCCTTAATTAACCTCTTATTTTTCCTTTGGTTTGTTTGCTTGTTTTCCTGTTTCCTTGCCTTTCTTTTTTTTTTTTTCCTAATTACGATAGTAGCCAGTCCTAGTCCCGCTTTAGGAAAATCAAGGAGTGAATGCTCAGGAAGGTAAATGTAAGTAACAGCATTCCTGTTTTTCAGTCCGTTTGCATTTATTACTGCTTCTTGTTAGCTGGAACAAAGCCAATTATCACCATTTGGGGGGGTAATTTTTAAAATTTATTTTTTAAGTTTCATGCAATATTAAGGTAACTGCGTAAAAAATTTTATTCATGGCCACTGCTAACGAGGACGTAGGAAAGAAAGAGGAGGGATGAGGGGACTATTGATATTTGATTTATATTAAATTTGAAAATAACTTTATTTTTCAGTACTATAGAGAAGTCCATATTTGGTGATATGAGTGGATTTTAAGGACAAGGTTAGCATACTGCAATCTGCAGATAACTTTTAATTTGTTAATCGCATCAGTACTTTTGTAGCCAGTAGTTATTTACCACCATTTTTAATGTTTTAGGTATTCTTGATTCATTCTAAAAAGCTGGCTAATGAAAGAAATTAGGAGAATTATTTATATTTATGGAATTATCCTAAACTAGCTTTCAATATATTTATTGAATTTCTTTTCTGAGCTTCTGTGTCTTTTAACAGTTTTTGAAAGTGTGTTGCAGATAACAATAGAAAATAACCAGAATGGGAGTGAATGACTTGTGGCAAATTTTGGAGCCTGTTAAGCATCCCGTCCACTTGCATAGTCTTGTTGGGAAAACCATTGCAGTTGACCTGAGTCTCTGGGTATGTGAAGCACAGTCAGTCAAAAAAATGATTGGAACGGTCAAGAAGCCCCATCTCAGGTATAGTAAATGTTCTTAGAGTATAAATGTGTGATTGCATAAGCAATTGATGTCTCGGTTTTGTTTCCACTTCATATCTTGTTTTATATTTTGAGATTTTAAAATATATTAACATGTCTAGATCTCCCATCTTTCTGTTGATGATTCACAAATTTGTACCTCTTACCTTTTGAGCTCCAGACTCACAAACCTAGCTGCCTATTTAACATGCCCACTTCAGTGACCACAGCCAGAAATTTTAGAGCCATTCTCTCCCTGTTTTTCCCAGCCCCATGTCTAATCCATCAGGAAGTCTTGCCAGTTCTACTTCCAAAATATGCTTTGTGTTCATAAACTTCTCTCGATGTCCAGAGGCACCACCTCCATGTACACCAACATTATCTCTCATCTGTACTGCTGAAATAACATCTTCACTAGCTTCTCTCCCTCAGCTCCTAGCCACCTCCTCCTCTAAACCATTTGCCACATAGCATTTAGTGGTTGCTCAATCCAGTTAAAATAAAATCATAACAAATAAAATGTTTTAGATACTAGTCTGATGTTCTTGCCATTATATCATACTGCTATGTTGACTTTTGCTATCGATATATGATGATTAATATATTACTAATTTTTAAATTTCAGAAATTTATTTTTTCGTATCTCATATTTAACTCTGATGGATGTAAAACTGGTATTTGTTATGGAAGGGGAACCCCCAGAGCTGAAAGCTGATGTCATAAACAAGAGGAATCAGATTCGATATGGGCCTTCTGAGAAAACACGGTCTCAGAAAACAGGGAGATCATATTTTAAATCAGTCTTGAGAGAGGTGAGCATTCAGATCTGCTTTAATAATTCTGGTTTAATAATTCTAGAACATTTTACTTTGATAAAGCTTGTTATATAATCATCTTTAGTACTCACTAACATTATTGTATACAGAAAGCCGGTGTGGATAGAGAAAAGAGTTTATATTTGGGACCAAAGTTCAAGTTCTGGCTCTGGCATCTTGAAACTCTAAAGTGTCGAGCAAGATTTTTAAGTTATATTTACTGCATTTCCTACTCTGAAATGAGGATAGTAATACTTTGCAGAGATGTGGTGAAATTAGAGAAAATGTCTAAATATCTAATATCTGAAGCAACTAGTATATGGACTTGACACATTATCTTCTATGACATCCTTAGCACTTAAAAGAATTCCCAGAATAGAGATCTCATTAATGCATACTTCACTCATTCAAGATTGATGATGCTTCATATATTAAATACATATTTGGCTTTCCTTAGGGCTTTGTAAATTTTTAAAGCACTTATTATTATATTTTAATGTATTTTTTGTTATAAAATGTTATATATTTCTATACAAGTTAAGAGAAATCATAAGAAAATAAAATATATTATTAAAACAATAGGAAGCTATGATTATTTTGTCTCTTTTCAAATGTATATATATTTTAAAACTTGTCATAATAGCGCATAAATAATTTTTATCTTGGACTTTTCACTTAACATCTCCTATCCATATTTCCAAATTCAGAACTTGTAGTGGTTGTGCAACATGTTTGAAGCTATGAAGTTATTCCCTGTGATTGTGTATATTGTGTACTTTTCAGCTCTTCTCTATTATATGCGAAATTATGAACATTTTTGTGTACATAGCTTTCTCTTGTGATTTGGGATTTTAAGGTAAAATTACCCAAAGTGGAATGAACAGACTAAAGTTTAGGAGTGATTTTATAGCTCTTTAAATTTCAGGAATTTTTTTTTTTTATATCTCATATTTAACTGGACGTAAAACTGGTATTCCTTATGGCAGGGGAACTCCCAAAGCTGAAAGCTGATGTCGTAAACAAGAGGAATCAGATTCGATACTTTGTAGTTACTTTTTAGTTAAAATTTTCATTTCTTTTAAAAGGCATGGCATAAATTAATAATCATTTTCTCCTGAAATTCTATTTTTTATTCTTCTGTGATGTTTTTTAAGAATAGTTTTTAATTAGTGACCGTTCTACCTTAATAACTCTCAGTAGTTGAGGAAAATATCTGTACTGGATTCTAATTATTTATTGTTTAATCAGTTCCTAGAAATAATCACAGTCCACATACTTAGGGACATTAAATACCCAGTATAAAGCAAAAAGATGACCATCTCTTTTTGAGAAAATTGCTCCATTCCTGTTTTTTTTATTGCAGCAATTGGGTGTTCTTTGGCATTTTGTTCAGTATTACTTGCCCGTTTTTCATTTTCCTATTTTCGTACCCTCAGTGACTAGGCCCTACTTTCAACTAATCCATGCCAACTTTTAGATAAAAGCATGAAAAGCACAAATTAGTCTTCCTCCAGCACCACCTCCACTGCGTGACCAAGATTTAGGGTAAGGAAATTTACAGCCAGCCTTATCACAAATTGTTTGCTGGTTTTTTAAAAGAATTGCAATAACATATGGCACAGGAATCTGAAATGACTTTCAAACTCTTTTGTTTATTATGAAAGGTCACTTCTTATCTAAAGGAAGGTCAAAGCAGCTATGGTGTTTCAACAGAATATCACCTGTAACAAAACTCTCTCTAAAGTCACCTGGCCAGAGTCCTGAAAAGTACCTTTTGTCAACATAATACTTTGTCTTTTTGAACCTTGTCCACCTTGGGCAACACCTGGCAGAGGTTTTTATTTTGTAATATAGCATGCAAGCCATTAATCAATTAAAGCAAAAGAGATATTTATTCTATCTAAAGAGATATTTAGTCTCTAGAAACAAGTAGCCTCTTTTCCTCACCATACCCAGTATTCCCCAGTGAGAGAAGGTGAGAATGAGATCTGACAAGAAAGAATGCACTAGGCTATAATACTAAACTATAAGCTATCCAGCTGGGTTAAATTCATAACCCAAAGCAAACTCGCAGAGGATTGTTTTTGTGTCAGCACATCGATGGAAACATCCTGCACAGAAATGACTTCCTAGGAGGCCATCAGTAAGTGACCCCTGTGTGGTGTCCCACAATCTGACAGTTTCATTATGTGGAAGAGGTGATATGAGGAAAACAAGTGAACTTTAAGGCCTCAAGTTAAAATTCTATAATAGCACCGTCTTTGGAAGACCTTATGTTAGATTAACCGTCATGTGAAAAGAATTTTTGTAAAGTTTTACAGATGTAAATTTTAATGTGATTATTAAGCATTTAAAGATATTTCCAGAATCTTGAGACACCATTCAGCGAAACAATGAAAATTGAATATGGATTACTTTTTTTCAGTTAAATTTGGGGTGACATAGGTTAATAAAATTATATATTTTCAAGTGTACAATTCAATAATACATTATCTGTATATTGCATTTTCTGTTTACCACCCAAATTCAATTCTCCTCTATCTGATTATTTTGTAATCGACATTAAGAATGTTTAACTTTTCATTACAGAAAATTGTAAAAAATACAAAAGTAACCCATCACCAACCTTAAATAATTATTAACTCTTAGCCAAACTTGTTTCATCTATCGCCCCACTGCCGTGCTCCCATGTTATCTTGAAGCAAATCCCAGATATAACATTGTTTCAGTATTTCAATACCTTTGTCTTCTTGATAAGGGCTCTTAACAAAAAATAACCACAATAAAATTTTTATTATCACACCTAAAAGTTCAGCAATCATTCCTTAATGCCATAGTCAGTGTTCAAATTTCTAATTGTTTCTTAAATATCATAATTTGTAAAACACCTAAATAGCTACTATTAACATTTGTAACATAGAGGAAGTACGTTAAACACTGAAAAAATTAGCACTAAAAATGTTGTTAGATTTCTCGCATCTACTTTCTCTGTTCAGTGTCTGGAACTGCTGGACTGCATAGGAATCCCCTGGGTGCAGGCTGCTGGGGAAGCTGAAGCCATGTGCGCCTACCTCAACGCCAGTGGCTATGTGGACGGCTGCCTCACTGACGACGGAGACACTTTCCTTTACGGGGCCCAGACCGTATATAGGAATTTCGCTATGACATCCAAGGTATTTTTTCTTTCTCTTTGCCAGCGCTTGTTTTTCAAACTACTTTTTTTCAAAAGAGATTATTAAATAATGAAATGAAATAATGTATTTAAATGCTTGCCATAATACCTGGCACGTAGCAATGGCTAAATGAAATGCTAACCGTTATTAAAAATATCATTGCCATTCTCTTTGAAATGTGGATTTCTTTCCTAAGGGCTTGACTTGTTTCACATGGTTTAATTCTAAATAAGCTTCGACAGTATATTATAAAATTGCGTATGGAATATATCACTTTGACCCAAAATTTCTACTTTTAGTTATCCTCAAAGAGACGCAAGGAAAGATAATGCAAGGATGTGAATTGTAGCATTGTTAGTAATTACAAAAGTCTGGCAAACAGCCCAAATGCCCATTGATGCAGATTAGTCAAATACAGCCATGGTTCTCAGCTAGGGAGGTAGCTCGAGGGGCATTTTGGTTGTAGCGATTCATGGCTGGGCAAGAGAGAGACTAGAAGTTTGGCGGATTGGAGCCAGGAAAGCTAAACCTCTCGCCAGACAATTCTGTTATCTCTCCGAAAATGTTAGCAGTGTGGCCATGGAGAAACACGACCTCAGAAACACTACCGTATAATGTAAGAGTAAGTGGTCATTTAAAAAGTGTATATTAGTCTACGGCCATGCTACCTTGAACAAGCTCAATCCTGTCTGATCTTGGAAGCTAAGCAGGGTTGGGCCTGGTTAGTACTTGGATGGGAGACCACCTAGGAAGATCAGGTGCTGTTGGCGTAAAATATAAAATAAAATAAATAAAATAAAATAAGGGATCGTAAGCTGACAAGGTCCTTGCAATCTGTGAGGTCAACCAAGGGTTGCCTTGCCTAAAAAAAATAAATAAATAAAAAGTTTATATTATTAACATTAAAGATATCTAGATATATTAGTGGGCAAGAAATATTGCAAAATAGTAATTTTATATAATCTTACTTAAAAATATAATTAATAATGTTTGTATATGTGTGTTAAGGAAAATGTTTTCTGTAAGAAGATGCAGCACATTGTTACTAATAGTTAAGTTTAGATGATACAATTTTAGGGAATGTTTACTTTCAGTAATATATATTTTACAGTATTTAATTTTGTAAGGTGAAAATCTACTTTTAGATTCTGGTGATCAGGTAATTTTTCTATTTAAACTTTTAGGAATAATTAAACTTTAGAAACAACTTTGACAAGTTTTGTTGTCTAGTGTTTTTAATGTATAAATATTTACTTTTTGAAGATTAAACGAAATCTGTTCTTTCCTCTAGGACCCACATGTTGACTGTTATACAATGTCGTCTATCATGAGTGAACTAGGTTTGAATAGAGATGCTCTGGTTGGACTAGCAATACTACTTGGCTGTGATTATCTTCCAAAAGTATGCTGAAATTTTCATATTTATTCCTATTCCTAGTGTGTCTTTTTTGATACCTTATGTGCTGCATAAATATGAATATAGTAATATGATTTAGAATATAATTTTAGGCATAATAAACTATTCAATACTAAAATAATTGGCATTTCAAGTGGCGTTAAAAAGCTGGCTCATTGGGACTGGATGTTATAAATGAGAATAGAATAATAACTGGTACCACAGCTTGAATCTCAGTAAACCATTACTCTAGATTAAGAGATTCACATGCAAATTCAACTACCTTTTTAAAGAAATATAAAAATTACTCTTTTTTTTTTTTTTGTCTCATGCCAATGTTTTGTTTATATCACGTTTTGTTACATTTTGTCTATTTTTTGGTTTTATGTGCCTTTTAGCTTTGCAACTGTGCACATGCCCAGCATTATTTTTACTGTCACTAGGCTACTTGATTATTAGGGGAAGCCATTCATCCTTCCATGCCTCTTAGTATGGCGTTCCGTTTTGTTATGAAAATCTTCTATTGATATCTTAAGATAAACGATTTGGTACTGTAACAAATAGTTACAGTAGATAAGTGATGAATTAAGAATTACGAGGATATCCCCATTCTTACACGCTAACTATAAAGTTCATTGTAGTTCTTCCTACGTGGTCCTATCATTGTCCTCTACTAAGCATCTCTGTGTTCTTACTAAATCTTCATTATACTGTACTGTCTAGTCTATCCTCAAGAGACATCTGGAGAAGGGAGACATATAATTTTATTCTTCAGAATACTAAGGGAAGAAGAGAGCAGGATAGTAAAATTATTAACTCTAATTTCTAATTTATGTCATCAATGACCAGAGGAATCAACATTTTTTCTAACTAGTAAGTAAAGGAAGCAGGAAGAAAAAACTTTTAAATAACACAAAGTAATTTATTATAATTGTCATTCTGAAATAGAGGATTCCTGTTTCTCATATGTAATTTTATCATAAAGACTAAAAACAGCCCAGTGTTGAATGTAAGAAAAAATTTGCAAACTTGAGCTCACAGAAACCAACTTGAGCTGCAGCGGTGTTACATTATATATTAATTAGCATTAGCTATTTTGATGTTTTGTGTCCTTTGTGATCAAAACTGCCATCTATTTTATTGTTTATGTAAAGATTTTTAAGACTATGTACTAACATGATTTGCCTTCAAAAAATTTAAGATGTAGCTAAATGCTAATACAAGAAGGATGATATATCACAACTGGTATGCCAAAGACGTATGTTTATGGAAACCCTCTAAATGGTGCCTAGTGCTACCATTTTAGTAGCAGGATCCTGGTGAGTTGGGAAGAGGATTCAGGTTAGAGAGGAGACCCCTTTGCCAGCAAGGGTTGGGTAGTGGCTATTTACTAACTAGTTTGGAAGTGTTTTAACACTGATAAGTGTATCCTATTGCATATTGGCTAAATAGCAGCCCTGCTTTTAAGGACATATTCATAAACTTTTACAGAAACTAGAAGACTCAATTTAAACTGGAAATTGTCATGAGAATACATGTTTATTGTGTTGGAAACTTAATGCTTGTTTTAATTCCCTTGTTATTAATTTCAAGGGTTAACTTGAAAGTCTCTTCTGTTCTCTTTTGATTCTGGATCTTTAACTATTAAATATTAATATCATTAAATGTTTATATCATTAAATGCTTTTTCCTGATTATAAAGTTAGGTCAAATTAAAATATTATCAAAATAATTAAAAAGAAAGTGAACACCCTCTAAAATTATGTTCCTCCCTTCCCTAAAATAAACACTATCAGTGGTTTGGTATATAATCCTTTGCCTTTTTGTTTGCATAGATTAACAATATAATCGGTGTTTAACTAACAAATCTAGATCACACTGTGTGCCATTCAGCAATTTTCATCTTCCGCATAGCAGTATATCTTGCACTTCTCATTACATAAAAACACCTTATTCTTTCAGTTGCACAATCTTCTATCGAATAGACTTAACGATATTTATTCATTCCCTGGTGATTAACATTTGAATTTCTTTTCCCACTTTCTGAAAGGGAGTCCCTGGAGTTGGAAAAGAGCAGGCGTTGAAACTTATACACATTTTGAAAGGGCAAAGTTTACTTCAGAGGTAACCAAAAATTATAGTTTCTCGTGACATTAGACTTTTATTTTTGTTAAACTTAATAGTGAATGTTACAAAAAGTATTATGCTCTTTAAAAAAGGGTTTTATATTTTTAAACTGATTTAAATTTTCATTCGAAATCAGTTATTTTTATTTATTCTGAACTTTTCCAAAGAAAGGATGAGAGTATATATATCCTAAGCCATACTATGTTTTTTTCAATATTATTAACTCACTACGAACACAAATAGTAAGATGTCAAATGCTTTTATTTATAACCATGGGCATTTGCCACACAGGCTATTTTAGACTATTTTACCACCATGTAAAGATAGCATAATATTAAAATAATTTATATTTAAAATTATTTTGGGTACGAAATACTTCGATGTTGTATTTACTTTTTAAAAGTGAAATGCTTGACATTATATGTATTTAATAATAGTAACACTTGATCAAAATTTTTACTCGATTATCCTTTCTTCTATAATCATACCGGTAGTAATACATTAATTCTAATTCATTTAGACTGTACAATTTAAGGATTTAAGACCATTAAGATACAGTATATATTGAAATTTACAAACTATGCTATTTAGTTTTGAAAGCATGGGAATTATATTTACTTGGTGAAAGCAATGGTTTATAAAAAGTAATATAATTGATAATAAAGAATAAAATGAATAAAGGAAAGAAACTAGGATACTGGGAGACTTAAAACAGCCTTGGCCTCCGATAGGTTTGAGATGGTGAGTGCACGAAAGAAAAGATTAGTTGTAGAAATCAAGAAAGAATGACCATGACAAAAGTTTTTAAGTCACTGTGCTCTTTCCTATAATGCTTCCCTTTCAGCTATAAAGCTATTGATAGGTATAAGACGTCAATAAATCCATTATTGATATCAGTGATTACTGTGCCAAAGCAGGAAAAAGAGGTATACTTTGGCATGCAGGTAAGTTTTAAGGAATCATTTGGGAATTGTGAAAAATAATATAAAGAAGGAAAAACAAGCAAATATGGTACTTGGCTAACTACAATTCATTCATATTGAAAAAGGTTTTGTAAATTTATACTTTTGGCAACATTTTACTAAATGTTGTTCTGAACATTTGAAAATAATGACGTTATATTTCTTGTTATGATTATGTCATTTCCCTAGTTATTTTTAATTTTTGAAGCTCTATTTGTTATTTATTCACCAGCAGTTAATGCTAATTTTTAGGAAGCTTATAGTTGGTCTTTGTGGAAAGTGAATTAGAAATTCTAAAAGTTAAATGGGAACCCTTAGTGCCAGTTACAACACAGTGAGCTGAAGAGGTTAATTTAGCTTTTTACTTGAACTTTAACTTCTGTAAATAGAAGACCATCAGAACACTTAAGTTTTATGATAAATACTTAATTATCCTCTTGGTGGTTTTATGTTGAGCTGGAACTTTAGCCCAAAATTAACTTTTATTTAGTAGACATTTTAGTAATATACATTTTCTTAAAGTCTTTCATGATAAACAGGTAATGTTTTTGCTGTTTACGTAATATATTAAGAAAATGATCCTTTCAAATAATCTGGATTTTTTTAAACAGTTCTTACCCAGAAGCTTGATGTTATATTTAGTTTTACACTTTGCCCTTCATCCGTATTTTGATATACGGAAGGGTTCATGTACATGATTCTGTTTATTTTATACTCTGGCACACAGAGAGGAGATCAAAAACGGATTCAGATCATTCTCCCTACATACATGTCTATGTGAAGGTTGTTTTAAAAAAAAGATGGATGAATATATGAATACAAACACACACACACACACACACACACACACAGGTCTTTCTCTCCCTCTTCCTTTACCCTTCCCCATCTCTCTCAGTCCTTCTCCCTCTTCCTCTCCTTATCTCTGACTCTCTCTCTCCTCCTCTGTTGCAATTTTTTTGTCCCTGAGGCCACATTTAAAAATCGAAGCCCACAGATTGAAGATTTCCCCAGTCTGGGCCAGCAACTTTATCTATCACCAAAGAGAAAATAAGTATGCAGGTAGGAGGGAACAGAATAGCTTGATAGTTGAGAACATGGCATTTTGGTGCCATTTTGGTGACCTTGGTTTTTTTTTTCTTTTTAAAACCATTTTCTTTTAAAGGTTTATGCAGTGGAATGAAACATCTTGCTCTTCTAATGAACAACCAGTAACTGTTAAAAAACTGGCTCATTGCTCCGTGTGTTCCCATCCAGGTAAGCAGACGCTGGGAATGTTATCTTAGAGCATTAGCGTCACGTACCCACACGTTCATCCCTGTTCCTATGGTATATTTCACATACCTGTCTTCCCCACTAGATGGGAATCCTCCGAGTCAGCAGTTGTGTCACATATACATAGTAGACATTCAATAAATGTTAAGTGAATGAAATAATGTGATACAAACGATAAATATAGGTTAAGTACAGTTTTATACTATTATACCAAATTATTTATTGGTATCATAGATCTTAAAATTATGTTTTCAGTATAGAAACCCATTTGAAGAAAAAATATACTGATAAGTCTTAGGGGAAAGTGGAACTGAAACCATTTGTTTTTATATCAGTGATATATTTATAAACTTAAATGATTTTTAATTGTCCTATCATGCGTTTTTATTGTGTGCGAAGATAACGTATTAAAACTAATTTTAATATATGTTCATTTTATTGAAAATAGCTTGGTTCTTCATTAGTTTAGGTTAAAAAAGATGTCTCTGATATGTACTAAATCAGAAGGCCTTTCACTCTCAGGAGAGATTAGGAAATGATATAAAATCATCTTTTAAAAGAAATTCTGTTTTATCTATTTGTGTTAATGTTTCAATAACATCGTTAAAGTATAGATGATATCATGGAAGACATAAATGTTCTTATACATAAGATTCCATTATCTATACTTTTTTGATATCTTATAAATGACAATTTTAGGTCACATCAATTATGCATGTTCTTCTGTATTTTCAAAACAATGTCAAAGATAGTGATGCTTTCCTTTTAAAGGGGACTAGGGCCCCACACCTGTGCCACAGTCCTAATTCATAGTTTAAAATTAGCTCCAGGTAACTGAGAGCCAGACGCTAGCAGAGGTAATTAACTGCTGTATTTTTTAAATATTCTCATTAAAGGAACCATTTCCTGAACTATTCTATTAAGTAAATAATCTTTTTAATACTGCTAATAAGAATTATATCCTACTTTTTTGTATGTAGCTATCAAATAAACCACAAAAATCTCCATTGTTGATTATTATAAATGTATAATTTCAAGTTACAAATTGAAACTTTCAGATAGAAGAGTGATTTACAGAAATAAAAAAAAAGTAGTGTCATATGATAGTGTCAAGATCTACTTTATTCTAAGAATTACTATTGTGGTCATTACATGATTCAACCTAAATGAATTGAAACCCTACTATATACTAGGCACTGTGCCAGGCAGTATTCATTTTCGAAAATTTGGATAAAGGCAAAAAAAAAAAAATTGCAAAAAGCAGTACAAAATTGTAAAAATTGTACAAAATCATACTTTGTATCTCCATAAAGGTTCACTTAAGGCTCATGAACGTAATGGATGCGAATTATGTCAGACTGAGAGACACTGTGAACCACATGGCAATGAATACTGCTGTCCCTGTGAGTGGCACTGTGCGGAGCATGAGAGGCAGCTCATTGCTGTGGAGAACAACATTAAGAAGTGAGTTTTTTTTTTTTTAATTCATTCTTTTTGGGCATGGCCTGTTTGAATTAGTTCCATATAACCTTCCCCCATATCTAAATGAATAACATTTCACAAAATCCATTTCTTGGTTCTGTTCAGAAATTAGGCCATCTCAGAAGATAGTAATTAAACAGTGATTCAAGGAGAAGCTTTATGGCTGGGATAGTGTGCAAGGACGTTTTTCATTAAATGAGAGGAGATCGGATAAGTTCATTTTAGAATCGGATTGTATTAGTAACATGTATATAATTTATTTTCAGAAAAGCTTGCAGTTGTGAGGGGTTCCCATTCCATGAGGTAATAACTAATAATTCACATGTGTTTATTTCAGAAGCTTTTTAAAAAACTTTGAAGCCTCAATTCCTATTTTCTTTTTTCTTGCTAGGTTATTCAAGAGTTCCTTTCGAACAAGGATAAGTTGGTGCAGGCAATCAGGTGCCAAAGACCTAATCTATTATTATTTCAGGTATCTGAAAATAAATTCTTACTTTACTGTCTGAAGTTGGATACCAGGAAGATAAGAAGGGATAAATCACTGAGAGGAAATTTAAAACAGATGGCTATTGACTGCTTATATATTTTTCAGCATTTATTTCTAGTCTTCATTCCTTTGCCACACAGTCACCATACTTTGCAGACCATAAAACAAATCACAGTTGTGCCATTTGTTATAAGAGACCGTAAATGCCATGTTCGGGTATATCGTATTCAGGGATATGTTGGAGAGAGGGGCCAACAGCCAGAGAATATCAGGATCAAGTACATTGTCATGGAAGGCAGTATAGCTGACAAAGGCTATACTGGGATTTGTAATCGGTTACCTAAATTTAAATTTGGACATTTTGTCACTACGTGACACTGGATGTGTTATCCTCAGAATAGAAATAATACTAGTTATTTCATGAAATCGCTATGAGGATTAAATGAGATTATTTATATTAACCCCTAATATAATGGCTGTAAATTCTAACTACTTTTTGCTTATCCCTACCAACAATAGTAATAATAATGGCAACCAACATTTATCGAATGTTTAAAATTTGCTGTTACATTTAACACGTTGCATGTAATCCCGCTTCATCTTCATAATCTGTGAGCTGAGTATATTTTACAGGTAGAAAACTTGAGGCTAAGGGAGGTCAAGTAATTTACCAACATTTAGGAAATGCTATGCTGGCACTCAAACCGGCAACCCTCTCACTTAATTATTATGCATTATTGCCTCCTTAGGGAGTTTATTGTTCTTTCTGGGAATATTCTCATTGATACTACCTTAACTAGTGTTAATGCCAAGGTAAAAATAATAGTACCTGAGAGTGTTGTTTATCTCCAAGAGATAACAGAACCTTGTTTTATTTTTATTTTATTTATAGAAATTTAGTCTTGAAAAAATGGAGTGGCCCAATCACTATGCATGTGAGAAATTGTTGGTGCTTTTGACCCACTATGACATGACAGAAAGAAAGCTTGGTAGAAGAAACGCTAATCAATTACAGCCAATTCGGTATGAATTGTATGAAGAAATCTCTGTGTTTCCATTTGAATATCTTTTGATCTAAAATAGTCTTCTTAATATTTTTAATAGTAGGATAGATAGCTCTTCGTTTTATAAAGATAGAGTACGGTCTACTGGAATAATAAAGGCTTATTCAGGGCTTACCGTCAAGATAACATAGTAAGCTCATGCTTTGACACACTTTTCTGTTTCAAACATCTAGTAATAATACATTATTAAAAGAAATACATATAAAAAGATATAGCCAGGCTTAGCCAGATAACTATTTCAATGGACCAGAAAAGGAACAAAAACGTGAAATGAACGGAGAGACTGAAACTGAGAATTGGTGAATCTCGGTGAAGGGTATGTAAGTAATCTTCGTATTATTCTTACATCTTTTCTAAAGGTTTGAAAACTTTCAAAGTAAAAAGTTTAGGGGAAAGTATCAAAGAAAAAAGATAAACTACAAAGAAAAGACAATCAGATAGCACACATTTCTTATGACGGTAACAGATGCCAGCAGATGATGGGGTAACATTTCAAAACTTTGAGTAGAAATAATTGGCAACCGAGACGTCCTTTAAATATTATTCACTGGTTTGTAAGGCATTTTCAGAGTTTACCTATGACAGACTCTTATTAAAAGCAGTGTTGAAGGATATATTTCAGCAAGAAGAAAACTGAACCCAGAGGGAAGATGTAAATAACAAGTGGTCAGCGTTAAAATTGATAAAGCATATTTAGTTAATTTAATAAACTGAGTAGAAAAAATATGTACATGAATATCTGCATAATGCTCGATGATTAATATATGATGATGATAAACTAAAACTCCCAAAGTATGCATGTAAACATACAAGGGTAACCACTAAAACATTAGAAATACAATTTCTATTTTCCAAACCAATACATAAAATAAAAAAGTAAAACTATCAAACCAAAAGAATACATGAAGGAGGAAGGGGAAAATAGCAAAGAAAAACCTTGGTAACAGAAAACACAAAATAAGATGTACGAATGAGTCCCACTATGTCAGTAATCACAATAAATGTAAGTGGATTAAACTCTTCTATTAAAAGACATTATATCGGATGAGTAAACAATTCAATAATATTCTGCTTATAAGGCATGCATAAAATAAAATTACATAAAGTTTGAAAATAAAGAGATTTAAAAGATCAGGCAAATATTTACCAAAGTGATGTAGAAAAATTAACAGACACAATAGATTTTAAAATTATTATTGTAGAAAAGAGAAACACAGGAACAATCTACTCATAGGATTTAATAATTATAAGCTCTATGTACCTAACAATAAAATTATCTTTTGAATAAATTAGTCAAGAGAATAACTGTGGTAATTCCTTATATTTTTAGAATATTATAAAAATAGAATAAAAATTAATGGAAATTGAATTATGCAATCTACAAATTGAAAATTTCCAAATAAGTCATGCAGTTGAACTTCATTAGATGAATTTGTTTTTCAGAATTGTTAAAAACCAGATCAGAAATGGAGTTCGTTGCTTTCAAATAGAATGGGAAAAGCCTGGTACGTAGTCACTTGAAGCAAAATTTATAACATGTGACCATTTGTTTAGCAAATATTATACATATATATGTAAACCATATATATGTATTATATATGTATACATAAAACATATATATGTATAATATATAAAAATAAAGAAAAAAAAAACCTATCACAATCACCAAAGATTAACCTCACAGTTTACCTGTGCTGTTTAAATAGGCTTTGACTCATAGTAAATATGAAAAACTTTAAGCAATTTTATTTTAATGTCTTAAATTGGCATTTCTTTTGTAATTGATGTTTAGGAAAATAATACAGAAATAGTTTTGACTTATATTTCTCAAGAAAATGCTCTACAAATGGTCTGGTCACTGGATGTCATTGCGTAGTTGGTTCTAAAGAAATAGAGGTTACTGAATAGCAGCACCTGGAGTACCCTTCCTCTTTCTTTACTTTTGCTTAGTTTCCATGGGAATTTATAGTTGTCAAATTACTCTTATCTTGCTACAGACAGAAATACAGTGAACTCTTTGAATTAGCTCCAAAACTAAAGGCAGAGAAAGCACAGATCATTTAAAATAGAATATAATCCCAAATTTATTTGTATTTGCCATTGAAATTAGACTTTGTAAGTATGTGTGATTGAGTGAGAGAGTAGATTTCTCAATGAAGGTTTAAGTTGTAGCTTAACTTTGAAGAATGAAATTAATAAAGAATTAGATAAACCGCTTGAAGCCGTAATAGCAAAATAGAAAGCTGAAGAATTTTGAAAACTGTTTAGGAACAGTTTCACCAACTCTACTATATTTTCAGGAAGGAAAGTAGCATTAACCCAGTTTGGCAGTGCATCTCCTCTGTCCAGAACTGAGATTAGGTGCCCACTTTTGCTTATCCTTACGGGAGCTATCCCTTAAAGGAAAAATAGACCCTAAGCTAGTTTAAATAAGAAATACTTTAAATACACCTGTTTCCACTGATTCTATTTTAAACTCATCAATTAATATTTTCATTACAGTTTGATTTCTCATGCAGTTTTGCCTTCATAAAGGATAAATGGAAAAATCTAGTCTTCTACTTATATATCTTACTGTGAATTTACATGTAACCATTCTTATTTTCATTTACCAGCTGTTTGTGAGTCCACTAAGCCTGGGTATGTCCTCAAGAGATTGATAACCTCTGATACCACAATCTGGAAAAGAGTACAGTAGAATCCCCTGATCCACAGTTTTGCTTTCTGTGGTTTCAGTTACCAGCGGTCAACCACTGTCCAAAAATACTAAATGGGAAATTCTAGAAATAAAAATTTTGTAAATTTTAAATTACATTCTATTCTGAATAGCATAATGAAATTTCATGCTTTCCCACTCTGTCCTACCTGGAACATGAATCATCCCTTTATCCAGCATATCCATGCTGTGTATGCAACTCACCTATTAAGTCAGTTAGTAGCCATCTTGGTTATCAGATAGACTGGCACAGTATCACAGTACTTGTGTTCAAGTCACCCTTCTTTTACTTAATAATGGCCTCATAGCCCAAGAGTAGTGATACTGGCAATTTGAATATGCCAAAGAGAAGCCGTAAAGCGCTTCCTTTAAGTAAAAAGGCAAATACAGTACAAAAAGGTATATTGAGAGACAGAGAGGGAGAGACCACAGTCTCATAGCTTTATAGTATATTCTTATAATTGTTCTATTTTATTGGTAGTATTGTTGTTAATCCCTTACTGCGACTAATTTATAAATCAAACTATCCATAAGTATGTATGTATAGGAAAAAAACATAGTATATAATGGGTTGGATACTGTCTGGTTTCAGGCATCCACTAGGGGTCTTGGGTCGTATCCCCCACATAGATAAGGGGAAACTACGGTAACATTTTTGATGACTCTTTCAATTCTGTTGAAGCCACCACTAAAGAAAGTTAATATTGAAGTTTTAGGCATTCTTTATCTGGAACACTTATTGTACTAAAAACCAACTAACCTTATCTACACAAAGATTTTAATCCTCTAAGCTGCTCCTTCTATCTCTGAAACAAGAGAATTTAAAGTTCAGATTTAAAAGTCATCTTCTGGCTCTGGTTAGGCAGAAAAAAATCAGTTCTGTACTAGAATCAACAGATTATTAGAATAGAGATGTCGTAAAGCAAGATTTGCAAGGAATTATCCATTTGTAGGTGACTTGGTTTACCTGGTAAACTTAGTCACCTGGAAAAAACTGAATTTTTCAAATCTAATTAAGGCTGTTGGTACTGCATTTTGAATCTTTTAGAACATTATGATATAGAAGATAAACATGGAGAATCAGTTCTACAAACAATAGAAGAAGAATCATTGTTTGAAGCAGCTTATCCTGAGATTGTTGCTGTTTACCAAAAACAAAAGTTAGAAATGAAAGAGAAGAAACAAAAAAGTAAGTATCGCATTTGATAGCTATTTATGCCACACACAAACGTTATAGAAGATCTGTCTGTTCTATTTGAATCTATCTTGTCTAAATTTTGCTCCAAGTTTCTAGAAAGTCAAGAGTAAGGATTGTTTACTTGCTTCTTTGACTTGACATAATTTTTTAAAGCCGAAAAGCAAGGAGTGAACTATTGTACTCTGTGTCTGATAACTTAACCAACTGTTAATAATAGTAATTATACTAACCACTTATTAAGCAACTAGTATATGTAATGTGTTTTGGATTTAAATACATTTTCTTTATTTCCCAGAGCGCTATGAGGAAAATAATTCGATTATAACATTGTTTCTAAAACAATATTGTGTGACATTTTGTTAATAATTATTTGCTTTTAATTACTTATAACAGTTTCCAGGAATGTACTGAGACAACACAAAAATTGCTCATGCATAAGATTTCAGTCTGAACTTTTTAGTGTATGTGTTTACTCAAGTTAAGTAAAATGAAACCGATTTTAATTATATTGGTTTTTCTTTCCTTTTCAGGCAGGAAAACTAAGCCAAAAGCAAACAGTTTGACAGAAACAGATGATATGAGTTTTCAGTCACACGTGACTTTAAAACCCACACGTGAAATCTCATCTAAGCAGAATTCCAAGTTAAATTTGGAAATTTTTCCTGATTCTACATTACCCCAGGAATCTATTTCTGCATCATTGAATAGCTTGCTTTTATCTGAAGATGCTCCGTGTTTGAATACACAAGAACAGTTCATGTCTTCTTCAAGACCTTTCACTATGCAACAAATTAAAGCTGTCAGTAAGCCTCCAATTTCAGAATCTAGTCACCCCAGTACCTCGTCCCACAACGTGTCAGCCATCGCTGACCTACACTTGAGCACCATTGACTGGGAAGGTACTTCTTTTAGTAATTCTCCAGTTATTTCAAGAAACGCTTTCTCTCACAGTTTAAAATCGGAACTTGAAACAGCCAGCTCTAAAAATATTCCATGGCCATTGTGTGAATCAGAATGGGGAACAGCAAACATTAATAAAGCACTAGATTGTGATCTTCGAAAGACTAACCCTGAGGAGCATCTACTTTCTCGCATCACTGATTTACGTCTTCAGGATTTGCCTTTGAAGGAACGAATCCTTATAAAATCATCTTGCCCTCAAGATAACGTACAACCCTACGCTGACCTGAAAACATTGTCCCCACCTGCAGTAAAAGGATCTTGTATTGCTAACAGGAGTGCTGATCGTCCTTCACAGCTTTCAAAGGATCTTCTAGGAATTGATTTGCAAAATGAATCTCGAAACAGTAAAGTTCTAAAAGGAGACCAGCTGTTGCAAGAAAAGTATAAAGTGAATACTTCCATACCTTATTCTGTCAGTAACATGGTCGTTCAGACCTCTGACGTTAGAGTCAGACTACCAGGTACTTTAGATCATAGGAGAAAAGTTGACGTGCAAACCACTCAGAAAACCGTAACGAAGAAAAGCGTTTGCCATGACAGATATTCCTCTGATGAAGAAAGTGCCCCAGTGTTTGGGAAAGCTAAGTATGCAACTCAGAAAATAAAGCAGAGTTCTCAGAAGCATAAACCAGCCCAAGTCAAGAAAAATGATGCCAGCAAAATGACTAACCCTAAGGTATCTATTAAAGAAACTGAACAGTATGCCCAGGCTTATAGAACAGCTGGAAAAGAAGAAACCTATTTCCCAGATGCAGCCAAAGGTTCTCTGAGTTTTCTTCAGAGTCATAAGGAAGGAGACGACTCTGGTACTTGTTTGGATAGTCCTCTTCCTTTATGTCAGAGATTGAAACAGGTTCCAAGACACTTGAAATGAAATTTAAAATATTTAAGTGTAACTTGTTACTCCAATACCGTCGGCAGAGGCAGAGGGTAGTTAATGTTTGGCAGAAAAAATGTAATGTGGTTCTATATGTCAGGAGATAATTTTGCCATTTTAATCAAAATTACAATTTTTAAAAGTTACCTAAAACTTCTATTTTAAAAGATAATCCTTGGGGTGAAAACTGCAGATGATGTTTATTTTTAAAACATACCTTTACTATTTTACGTATCTTTATTGATTATTTTTTAGTTATAGCTTTAAAATGTTAATGTAATAATAGACAGTAAATGCTTTATCCATTTGCTCATTTTTACTCATTTCTTATACAAGCCTGCAAGTTTTTATTTATGTTTCAGCTTGTTCCCAAGAAGATAGCTGTTTGTAATTGCCTACATTCTCGTGATATCTTCTACTGTGCCTTTCATGAGAATTATATTCTCTCTTAGAGTGAAGATATTTAATGTGCCCCCTTTCAGTGTGGATAACTTTATTCTTTTTTTGAGGGGAATGATAGAAAAGATGTAAGACGATCAATATATGTTGTAAAAATCATGGTTGTAATGCTGAATAAACTAAGGAAAGTCACTCTTTACATATCCCAGAAGTTAATACGTATGCCAGATGGAAAAATATTTGAAAAATAGAATGTATAACCAGAGAAGAATTAGAAGTTTGCTCTGGATCACATAACTAATTAATAATGGTATAAGGACCAGATTTCTTGCCTCCTAATTTATTGGGGGTTTTTTCCATTTTGTTTTTCTTTTATAGCACTTTTTTTTCTTTTCCTTATTTTTGTTTTAAAAATGAATCTATATAATATTGAGTTCAGTATCTCCAGATATTAAATTGTGCATTAGTTATCACTCGAAAAGTCTAGAGGCAATCAGATTGGAAAGGAAAAAGCAAAACTGTCACTATTTGCAGATGACAAGATTTTGTACATTTGAAATTCTAAGGAATTCACTTAAAACTACTAGAACTGGCAAATTGAGTTCACTAAGGTTGCAACATATAAAATTAATATACAAACATCAGTTGTATTTGTATACACCTCAGTGAATAATAGTAAATTAAATTAAGAAAATTCTGTTTACAACAACACTGAAAGGAATAAAATACTTTGGAATAAATTTAACAAAAAAGTGTAAAATTTATACGCTGACAACTACAAAATATTGTTGAAAGAAATTTTTTAAAAACATAAGTGAATGAAAAGATATCCATGTTCATGGATTGGAAGACTTGATATTAAGATGACAACACACACCAAACTAATTCACAGATTCAATGCAGTCTCCATCAGTTCCAGCTGATTACTTTGCAGAAACTGACAAGCTGATTCTAAAATTCATATGGAAATTTAAGGGATACAGAGCAGGCAAAATCTCAAAAAGAAAAAAGAGGACTCAGTCTTCCTAATTCTGATTTCAAAACTTACTACAAAACTACAGTAATGAAGAATGTGTTATGGCGTAAAGGCAGACACATCAAGATCAGTGGGATAGAACTGAGGGTCCAGAAATAAACTCACATTTATGTTCAATTGATTTTTCAACCACTGTGCCAAGACAACTTAATGAGGAAACAAGTCTTTCAGCAAATGTTACTGGTAAAACTGGATATCCACATGCAAAAGAATGAAGTTTGATCCGTACCATATACAAAAATAATTCAAATGGATCAAAGCTCTAAATGTGAGAACTAAAACAGTAAAACCCTTAGATGAAAACATAGGCATACATTTGGGACTTTGGATTAGGCATGGATTTCTCTGATATGGCACCAAAAGCTCAGACAAGAAAAAATGGACTTTATAAAAACTAAAATCTTTGTGTTTCAGAGGACACCATCAGAATGGAGACAACTCACAAAATAGAAAAATTTGCAAATCATCAATGTGATAAAGGACTTGTATCTAGAGGTACTTGTATAAAGAACTCTTACAGCTCAACATTAATAAGTCAGATAACAAAAGGAGGTAAAATATTTAAATAGACATTTCTCAAAAGAAGATATACAAGTGGCCAATCAATACATGAAAAACTTCTCAACACTAGTCATGAGAAAAATACAAATCAAAACCACAGTGAGATCCTACTTCACATCCGAAAGGTTGACTGGAATCAAAAGGACAGATAATAACAAGTATTGGTGAAGATGTAG